CACTTCTCTGAATTTTGCAGTCTGATTTTCCACTAAAAAATGTACCCAACTGTATTTTAGTATGTGCTTCTGAGGCTAAAATGCATTAAAAAATAACAAAAATATTGTTGTGTGTGTTTTGATTAGTTTGTTTGCTAAAAATGCACAGATTGATGCAGAAACAGGATGGTACAGCCTTATGAATGAACATATGTGAAGCTCAAATGGACCAGAAAGCTAGCATCATATTGGCGACTGCAGTAAGGATGCACATTGTATCAGGTGAATGTGAGTGCAGGGGAGGGGGAACAGCTTGCCAGAACTGGGATATGGAAGGCTCTAATAGCGGAGACTCTGTAAGCCTTTTCTGGGAGCATGTCTGGTCCCTGTGAGAGCAGCGCATGGAGTGACAACTGCAACATCAACCTACTGTTGCTGCATGTTGACTGGTGCCTTCCATGCATGGCTAATCTGGTGGTGGGGACAGCATGGTCAGCAAACGCCCTTCTGCTTTTGAGATGGTGGAATTGTCAGGGGTTCCATGGAAGTGGCTATCAGTACAGCTGTGTGCGTGTCAATGGCAATTACTGTGCTTTTGTCTGGGCTTCTACAAGTGGATTGGATCATGACTATGTTATCGGTGTAGTGCTGGCATCTTGGCTACTCAGAAGAGAAAGCGCATAGGACCAGATTTTCTCTCCCTTACCAAGCACCAGTCTCCAAGAGACTAGCAAAAATGGCTTCTTACAATGTCTTCTTAGCACTCCTTCAGGCAGTGTCACATGCTACACAGTAAACACAACTGGTTTGCCAGAGACTGTACATTCAACAGGAAACTGCAGTCAGCCTCGGCCCCCTGATGAGAATATCTGAATCATACCCATGTTCTCAACAATCCATATTTTATATTTGAAGGTGAGGTGGATAGAAAGTAGATCTCCAAATGTTTTGAATCTGAAGGTCCCATATTTCCGACCATTGGCCATGCTGGCTGGGGCTTCTGGGAAATGGAATCCAAAACATCTGAAGATCGGCCTTCTGTCCACCCCCATTTTAAGGCATACTTTAAAAAATCTCCAAAATGTAATGCGTGAAGCACAGTGGCATCTCTAGGATTTGCACTCAACAAGAAGGAAACCTTGCACAGTCCCCTTTTGGGATACACAAAGATGCCCCAAAGCCAGTTTGCTGCTGAGTCTCTTCAAATATTTTAGTGAAGACTCCCAAAACAGCAGTTATTGAAATCTGTGTCACCAAACAGATAACTACAGGGCATCTTTGCCATTCCTATCTCCTCAGATCCAGTAAACAGCCTTTCTTGGCCCTGATCTTTCCCCATGACTCCATTTGCTCCTTTTCCCCTTCAGGGCTATGTACCGGATATTTCAGGTGACACTGCAGGTTTAAACCGGCAGTATTAGCACTAGCTTTACAAGTTTACCTTCTAACAGAAAGATAGGTAAATAATGTGAGAAGCTTGGATATTTGACTATATCAAACAGTATAGAGGTATTCTAAATCAGTGTTAAAAGAATGTTATTCTCATATTTTTGTATCAAAAACCTGAGGGTGACAGACAGCAGCTTGTTATTACACTTTTTCAAGGGCCAAACTAGATGGGACTAAATGTATCTTTTAACATGCACATTTTCAAAAAATGCAAATAGCAGCCATTGGTGAGTGGAAGATAATTACTGGGGCAGCTGCAGGGAGATGGAATTAACTGTGAGGAAAATTACTCCTCTAAAGTTGCTGTTTACATTGGGAAGGAAATCCCCATTGATGCCAATGGGAGACTTCTGGCTAATGAGAAATGTTTCTGAGAAGTAATTTCTATCAGGATCACAGCAGGGCAGGGAAGGGTTAATGCTCCCCTTGCACAACACCCCAAGAATTATTATCCCTTTCCTCCCAGGGGCTGCTATTAGCAGTGTCTTTTGTCACTGTGTCTACTTTTCCCTGGAAAAGGTATGACGTTAGAGCCGGTTCCTCCTGATGCAAATGCAGCTCTCTGTGCATGGGAAGGGAACCTGGTTCCTGACTCACATGTACAGGACTTGGTAGCCTTCCCACATATAATGCACAGTTATATGCACATACTCTGTATGCAGCTGTTTGTCAAAGATGAGCCCATACTCCCAATTTCAACTTGCATTTTTCTTTGCTGTTTGGACCCCATTTCATTCTTTATCTGCATTACCAATGAACATAAAATTATTCAATGAACACGATTTCACAAGTCCTCAGAAAGAACTTTATTGAGATACTATTACCTTGACCTTCTCTTCCTCTTAGGGACAAACAGTACAGTTTACAGAAACAAATCTGGATATGTACAGTCAGAGAGCCTCAGCCAATCCCGTTTCTCTTCCAAGCCCTCATTTGACACATTCATATTCCACACTTTCAGGTGTGCCTCTGAATACCTAATCTATGAGAGACCGATGACCTCTACAAATCCTGGATGGGCAAGGTATCCAGCCATCTAGTAGTCAAAGAACTTCCCCTTCCCCTTCCTTCCCCTTCCTTCCCCTTCCCTGCCCTTTCCACCCCACTGCTTGCCAAGGCGTTTGTCCGAATAAGCACAGTGGCTGATGGGTGTGTTAGCAGGCAGGGTCTCCAACACATGGCACAGTACAAGATGGCCTAGCACCCTTTTGGAAGACATTCTCTCCATCCCTCTGTTTTTCTTTTAATGTGTTACTTCTATGCCAGAGTATTCTGGAGCCCTGCCCTGCTGATCGCCTGGACTACATTTATGGTTACCACTGGCAAGCTGGCAGCCATATTTTTAAGCTTCTGCCTACAGAGATCAGCCAGTGCCCATGGCTCTTGAGCTATTACGCTGCCAGTTCTTTGGCTATCCATATGCAGCTCTGTCTCGTCACCTTAAGCCTGACTTGCCAGCCCAGTTTGGTTGCCTTCCACTCAGCACTCCCACAGTATCCCCCACCCTACTTGGCGATTGCCTCTAATAAGCCAGGCTGGCAACCCCTCTACTTTCTCTGAGCACATCTTGGTCCTTGATTTCAATAGCCACATCAAATCAGCTTGATTGGGATTTGATTTTTCAGCCCACATATCTGAATTCTAGTGACCTCTTCTTCATGGAAAATCCCTGTTTTGGGCCCTTTTAATCAGAGGCATGATTGTAGGAAATGCTTAAATGTCTAAACTGTTTAAAATTACAGAAGCAGATGAGAAACAGACTACAAGTGAAGCACTAAAACTGTTATGCTTCCCATACTGAGGTGATCCCTCCCTTGCCACAGAGGTAAAAAAAGAGCTGAAAATACCATTTGTGAGCCTTTGCATGCTCTTTAGGCTAGGCAAGATCCAAATTATATGATAACAACATCAGGCTCAAAAATATTTTTCTCTACTCTTAAAAAAAAAATGGTAGGGAAATATTTAGTACATAGGGCTTTTATCTATCCCTGCAACAGAAGTTAAACCTGCAGAACTTCATACAGATTTTCTAGGTATGGGAGCACTTTCCAGAGTAAGGTAATCCTAAGACTTATACCTGAGCTATACACAGATCTGGGCTCCTTTCATCCTTTCAAGCTTTTCCATGCTATGGTTTGTACACAATTTACATTTCGAGGTTTTCACTGCCACTTGCATGCTTTGTACAGAGATTAAATTGAACTACAGCTCACTGAAGGCTTTGCTCTAGAATCTGTCTTTAATGTCATAGCAATATCTTGGAACATACAGATGTCTCTGAGTGCATCTTAACTGCTTTCCACTCATTAATATGTAGCTACAACTGATCTTGAGTCCTTCGTACCTGATAATGGTTTGAGTCAGACACTGAGGATGCTAAAAGGGAATGTGCCTGTAACTCTCATTTTGGAAACAAAAGCAAATTTCTACCTGCTGATGCCGCCCCTTACCTTAACAGTTTAGTCTGGATGGTTTCAAATGGCAAAAAAGCTATTACTTCTGTCAAATTGTCCCAGAACCAAATTGCATCCTCGAGATGGAGAAGGAGGCTTCCTAAATTGAAACAGCCACAACAAGGGCAAAGGATAAGTGAAAGCAGGAACATTTGCTTCCACTTAACCTTTCAAAAGTGCCCCCATCTTATCCACCATTTCTGAATTTTGCGGAAATGTATCTTGCTACATTGTCACGATCAGCTTTTCTGTGCATCTTGGGATCCCCCTTTCTGTTGTGAACCAGCTGAGAGCTTAAGTTATTGGGCAGTACACAAATATAATACACAGATTAAAAACAGTACTGTGAACCCCTCATAAACCCCTGCTTGTACTCTCTTTTGTTCAGTTGGAACAAAAGAGGACGCTTCAGCTTGAAATTAGAAGATGTGAGGGGTATTTGCATCTCCCGGCCAGTGAAATGCTCTTTGGCAAGCAGGCTTCTCAGCTATCTGCACCAATTCATTGATTCTCTGTCTCCCAACCTCACATGATAGTTAAACACAGGTGACATTTCATATACAGAAGATGGAAGGGTTAAGCAATGGATTAGATAATATTCTTTACTATTCTGTCCCCGGAGCACGGAATGCGATCGAGATCTAGAAAAAGGCATCATCGCAGCTGTGCAAAAATATCTCCAGCTCTGATTTTTCTAAACCTTCGGATTTGCGCGTGGGGTGGAGGGAATAGTCAAAACCTGGGGGTGGGGGGTGAAGAAAGACACGAGGTTTGTTATTTGATCCAATAGTAAAAAACAAACAAGGAACCAAATTCAAACCTGTTTGTTTTACCTAGCATCTTTTTAAAGTTCAGTCTAGAAGACCGTCCCATCTCTAGTCAAAGAAAGAGAGAGAGAGAGAGAGAGAGAGAGAGAGAGAGAGAGAGAGAGAGAGAGAGAGAGAGAGAGAGAGAAGAACAGAAAAAGTGGGCAACGTCGTACATGTTGTGTCTATAAGAGAAAGAACTCTACAAGGTCGCGTGTCTTTACACACACACACACACACACACACACACACACACACACACACACACACGGGGAAGGAGAATTCTATATCTATCAATCCACTCGTGTCTTACCTGAGTTAAGCAATGCGTCGCTTTGCTTCATGGGCCAGTTCTGAGGATCCTCAAGAACAACCGAGCAAGTGCCGGCGGGGAGATCTCCTGGCGAGTGCCGGCAGGAGCGGTGCCCCCTCTCCAGTACGGCCAGAAATCAGCGTCCGTCGGGCTTTGAGGCTACAGGTTTGCCGGCTGCGGGTGCAGCACGTGCCCCCGGCGGCGGCGCGGCGGCTTTCGAGTGATTCTGAATGGCTCCTTCCCAAAGCCTCCCGCCGACTGGAGGCGAGACCGATTCCAAGAGCCCCCTTACTAAGCAGCGTCGCTGAGCACAGCTCCGCTTGTGGCTCTGTGTGGAAGCAGATTTTTAAGGCCACCCTAGCGGAGGAGAGGCGAGCAAACCGGCGGCGGACGGAGCGGCATCCCGCTGTGCCACCTTAAGTGGGGGGAAAAGCGGACTGAAGAGCCGGAGAGGCAACCTGAGCAACAAAACCCAAACCCAAAGAAGAAGAAGAAGAAGGCACCTTATTTCCTTTTCAGGTGCAGAATGTCGGCAAACAGCGATAGTCTCCCTTTAATCCCGATGGGCATCTGAACGAAAATCCCACGCAATTTATGCTATTCTAGGCCGCCCCCTGGCTCTTGAGTTCTCATGACCACTCACGCGGGTTCGAGAAGCGCAAGGCAACGCGCTTCGAAAGGCTTGAGCGGGGACGCGGGGTCGGGGACGGGAGGAGAGCGCGCGCGGGCGCAGCGCTCCCGTTATTAGCAGCCCTGTATCCGCAGCCGGAGGGAGGCAGGAACAAAGAGGCAGGAGAAGGAGAAGCTGCCTTATGCCTTTGGTGCCAGGGCCGTAGATGCTGTTAATGCTCGGCCGAGTGCAGGAGAAAGCCATGTTCAAGCAGGCAGAACTCAAGACGGGTGGGTGGGACAGCATGGGAAGCCCCTGTGAGTCGCAAGCCATGCTTGCTTCAGAGGGGCCTGGACCAGCAGCATGGTTTCTTAACCACGCACAAGCCATGCTTTCTCCAGTCCAGAGGGCATGACAGGGCACCTTAAGCAAATGGGCTTGCAACGTACCATGCTTATTGTGTCGTGTGAACCCAGTTGTTGCCTGTTCCAGGGTTGGAAGGGTCCTTGACCAAGACACACCTGATGGTTCCCCTCCCTCAGTGAGTTTATTTATTTAGGGAACTTCTATGCCATCCCATTCGCCGAAGCTTCGGGGCGGCTCACAATCCACCTTCTCGCAATCCTTGGCACCACTTGCTGCTGCTCCTTCTCACCATCTTTCTCATTTACTTTCTGACCAGCAGACTGCCAGAGTGGAGAGGAGAAGCAAGGCCAGGGGACTCTCTAAGGGGTCCCATGCTGGAATGGGGACCCTTGGCAGGTGCCCAGTCATGACTACCTTTTGTCCCAGCTATCTGCTGTACAGTGTGCTGGAAGAAACACCAAGAAACATATAAGGACCATAGGAGACACCTCTGAATGTGCATCTAGTGCAGTCTTCCCATACTTGATGACCCCTGGACTCCAACTTCTAGTAGGCCAGCCAGCCATACTGCATCATTTTCATCATTCCTCTAGAGCAGGTTCAGGAGTCTTAAAACTGAATCATGCTCCTAGTTATAGAGGGAGCAAAGTAACAGTTAAAGAAAGATAGCAAAGGTATAATTTCCAGACACTGTTTAACAGTAATGTATATACTGGCCCTAAAACAGTTAGGAGATGCCTGTGCACAGGTTCTTAAAGGCCCATGCATCACATCCATGCTTTCTATGTTTGCTTCAGGAAACACTGGTGTAATGCCTGTGTTTCCTGTTGGAATCATAATGAAAGCTGCAATTACTTTGTTCAATCAGTTAGATTAGTAATCAACAACCTTTTCATGGACTAGATTTTCAAAACTTCACTCAGAGAACAGGGTTTTTTAAAAAGTTAATGATAGAATTTTTTATTACAAAAAATGTATTAAATTGTGGATAGCTGACACCAGCTTAGGAGAGGTACTTCTCAAACACGATTGAATGTCTCTTCTAAGATGGTACCTTAAACATGGGTACCTCAACTAAAAACACAGGCAGCATTTTTTCAGAAATATTGTTTATTCATATGCAAATATATGCGATTTACAGACAGCATCTGGCAGGCTAAATTAATTTTGGAGCTCTAGTTCCATTGTCAGAAAAGAGCACTCCCCCATCACAGCCAGTGCAGAAAGAACCATGCTGGTTGCACCTCTGAAATGGGAAGAATGATATCTGAGAACAGATTTGGTGGGCATTTGGTGGGGCATGGAGGGGAGGAGACCAGTGCTGCCAAAATATAAGGTGTTCTTGTGGCACCTCTGCCTCCATCTCTCCCTCTTTGAAGCACCACAGTTACATGGCCAAAATCCACCATCTACGAGGTAGCTGCTTTTGTCCAAGGGGTTATGGGCATCCCCTCTAGATTGCATGCTCAGACAATTAATTAATGAGAAATTACACTGTTGCCAGTGTTAAGTTGTTGATTCAAACATTCATAACTGCATTGAAGTCATGTATTGAGAGCCAGTGTGGTGTAGTGGTTAGAGTCTTGGATTGGGGATCTGGAAATTCCCTGTTCTAGTCTTTGCTCAACCATGGAGTCCATTGGGCCAATCTCAGAGTCTCAGTCTAATCTACCTGACAGGGTTGTTGCTGTGGGGCTAAAATGGAGAGAAGGAGAACCTTGTAAGCCATCTTGGGTTCCTTGCAAGAGGAAGAAAAGTGGGGAATGTAATGCAGCAATAATTTACATGTACAAGGAAATGTGGGGTAGTCTAGAATTGTAAAAATGTTCACAGTTCTTCATATGAATCATACTAATCCTTCATACTAATCCTCATTCAGTGATCATCAGAATGCCTGTCACTGAGATTGGTATAGGTAGAACTTAAACCACAGAACTACTGAAATGGAAAAGTCTGTGTATTCCATACATGTCCAAGCATTTAGATTGAGAGTCCAGCAAAGCTTAAATGTGGCATCCTGATTACATGCACATGCATACCTTGCAAATGTTAGTTTCATAGTCATAAGAGCTTTTGCCTACTTATTTGTTTTTTGGCACCAGGCTAAGACCTTTTTATTTAAAACTCATTTTAATTGTTAATTTATTTGTATTTATAGGATTTTAAATCTTTTAAGCTGAGATGCACCGGGTTTTAATATTTTTTTACTTGTATAATTGTTATATTTATGTATTTTGTTTTTGTTGTGAGCTGCCCCAAGGCTTTGTTGCGATGGGGGCAGCATAAAAATGTTTTAAATAAATAAATGAATACTTTCAACCTCTGCCAGTCTTCATATCTAAAAATTTTGTTTCTTTCTGCTTTCATTTCAATTTAAATAGAGATTTTTTGATCCGGAGAATAAAACACCTCCAGATGAAATGCTTTGCAAGTGTCAATACACAGCCACTTAGGAATTGACTTGGTCTCCAAAGCTAAGTCCTCCTGATCCAAACTATCCACTGAACAACCTACTTCAGCACTGTCAATGATGCCAAACTTCCAATCTAGACATTTCCTCAAGTTTCTGTTCCTCTCAAGAGTTGGTCAGTGGTAATGGGATAAACAGCTGTTTGGAAGAACACCAGCATATGGATAGCCTAAATAAACAGTGGAGCTGTTTCTCAATTAGAAATGATAGACAGTTTGTATGATTTGTAATGGACAAATTGATTAAAATTGATTATCTTTGCAGATGAATAAATAGTTACTCTTAAGAAAAAGGCACAAACTGCCTTCTCCAGCCTAGTGCCTTCCATATGCCATAGATTTCAACTCCCATCAGCCACAATCTTCATAGACCATGGTCAGGAATGCTAGAAATTGTGGTCTGAGACCTCTTAAGGCACTGAGTTGAGGAGGGATGTTTTAGAACATTAAGGAGGTGACATTACTTTTACAATAAGAGGAACAGTACACCTCAACATGTAGGTTTCAGCCAGGGGAGACTGGTGGCTCCAAAGTTAGTGAAGGGGCTAGTTCAGCTCCTGAGCTTTTAAGGAGCTGTCCATGGTGCTGAACTGTAGCTCCAATAGGTTCAGTTTCATGGAACCCTCTTTCAAAGTTCTGACTGAATTAACCCCGGAGTGACTATACCTCCCCACTGGCATTGGAGCCACCAGCCACTGTTGTTGTGTCTCTCCGCAACCAGGATTTTGGATAAAATGATTGTTCACAGTGGTATAAAGGTAGGTTCTTGATGGGTTTGGCATATCTGCAAGCCCTTCACTGCTACTCTGTGCAGTTGATGGGGTTCTTAACACCCTCCTCCCATGACTTTCTCAACTGCCAAGTATAGGGAGAGTTCATGATGGACGAATGGTGAGTACATCTTTAGGAGATTAGGATTTTTAAAAATTTGCCTTGGTTAACTAGGAACTTGTTTTTAATGGGTCTATCAAGCTTTCCATATCTAAGCTTTTCCCTATCTATCTATTCCCATGGGAATTATGGGAGTCACAGTCTGGTATGTCTGGAAAGTATGGAAGTTGTAGTCCAACATGTCTGAAGGGCACCAAAACAGGGGAAATTAATCAACTGTTTTATTTATTTCTGTCAACAAGTCATTAAGGGAAGCTATCGATAAAATTCAGATTAAAAGTAAAGCCTTAATTAAAGCATAACACAAAATGAATTAATTAAAATGCAGCAGTAAAAAAAGAAAAAAATCCTTTGACACAACCAATTAAAATCCCCTTCATCATCAGATGAGCCCATATGCCAAGGCGAGGGCCCATACAAATGGTATCATTTTTGCCTGCTGGTGAAAAAACAGAGCACAAGCCAACCTGGCCTCCACAACAGGGAATCCCAGAGCCTGGGAACAGCCACCAAAAAGGCCCTCTCCTGTGCCACCACCAATTGTACCTCTGAAAGCAGTGGTACTAAAAAAAAAAAAAAGATTTCCCCCAAAGACTGAAAAACCTGAGTAGGCTTATCTGCAAGATAGCCCTCTTACAGTTAGATTGGCCTCAAGCTGCACAGGGCTTAAGCAGCACTTTTAATTGTGCCTGGAAACGGACCAAATAGCCATTGAAGTTGTGACAAAGGAGTCATGTCTTGCCTGTTACCAGCATCAGTTAAGTTGAGTCCATTACAGTTGTCCCAGTGGAATGTAACTAAGGCATACCTGATTGTGGGCTAACTTGGGAGCAGTTGGCACACTAGCTTAAGCAGTGCAATTGCACACCTACCTAGCAACTTCCCAGACCTGGTTATCCAGGTTTAGAGCTGAATCCAGGCATA